TATACACCTAAGATGACTTGAGGGTGAGTAATTTATGGGCTAATTTAAATGTTTGGGTGAACTAACCCTTTAAGTACTAACAAACAGCCAATATGCTAGTAATACGCAAGCAACTTGTTAATTGTGAAAACTAGTCCCTAAACTGAAGCATTACTATACATACATATGAACGTAAAGAGGGGGACAAAATGATTCAGATAAATGTCTCAATACAGATCTGTGCATTAGGTATTGCACTGCAAATGCAGCCTAACAGACTCGCTCAACATCTTGACACTTGTGGTGTTTATCAAGGATCTAATGACTGATATTCTGAAAAGGAGGTGGCTATTAATAATAACAGCCAAAATAGGTTTTATGGTAACACGTAAAAACTGCATGAAATATGTTTGGTGCTATATTATTGTAGTGTTTTTTTTTTGTTTTTTTTTATTCTAAAAACAACATTAAAATGTTCTAAAACAAACTTGATGTCACATAATTTGATAACATTATGATTGAAAAAAAACTTGACAAGAGAGTGAAGACTTTGTCCTCTCATTTCAGATTATAATTAATAAATGTATTTATTTATACATTTTGGTCTTTTATCATTTTGATGTTTCTACTATTGCATTCTGTCTAAGAACAGCCCTTACTCATGAATAAATTACTGTAACACACAGCCTCGAGGCAAGTGTAAGTGGTTGGTGTGACTGTGCAGCTGCAGGCATGTGCTCCTACCATCTCATTGGTAATGGGAAGGCGTTTCCTGAGTAAGCTGGTAACCACCTCCACAATCGAGTCATGCAGTTTGGGAAACCGCAAGAGCTCCTTCGGACATAAACACACACACATACACACAACAGGTCAGCTTTCAATTATTTACAGCATTTTTACACTTCCTGTGTGGAAGCATAATATCCACAGAACACATTTCTGCATCAAAACTGTTCTCCGCTTTCCCTCCAGCACCCATTCTGACATTAAATTTATGTATATAATAAAGGAAACTGAAAAAAGGTTTAATGTAAAACAAATGTACACAGTGAAGGCAGCAGGACAGAGAAGATAAGAGCAGAATGAGAAGCAGAATCCTAATGCAGGCTGTTCTGAGTCTGTCTATGTGTGTGTGTGTGTGTGTGTGTGTGTGTGTGTGCGTCAATCTGTTGTGCCTGTAAAAAGCTTTCACTCTCCTCTTCACATTTAATTTTGTAGAAATGGGAAACAGAATTTGTCTTGCTTGTTTGAAATAACAGATTTTGATGGACTATGCAGAAAACGTTCTAGCATTCATGTCGCAATGCTTCCTCCCTAGTTCATCCAAAACATTTATGAAAACCGAGTCACAAAACGGCACAACCACATTAAAGGAATAGTTCACCTGGGAAAATAAATTTGCTGAAAATGCACTCACCATCAGACCATCCAATATGTAGGTGAGTTTGTTTGAGTAGTTTCAGGTTTGGAGAAATGTAGCATTATATCTCTTGCTCACCCATGGATCATCTGCAGTGAATGGGTGCCGTCAGAATGAGAGTTCAAACAGCTGATAAAAACAACACAATAATCCACAAGTAATCCACACCACTCCAGTCTATCAATTAATGTCTTGTGAAGCTTGTGAGAAACAAATGAATAGTTTTTTTTTTTTGTGGCAAAAACAGATAACTCCGTTTTTATGAATTTTCATAAATCATGTTTTTTTTTATCGTGATATCGTGTTTTTATTGTGTTAGTTAGCTGTATTTTTTTAGTTATTATTATTTAATCAAAACAACCAACTGCAGTTTGATTGATATTAATTGGAATGCAGGATAAAAAAAACATGATTTTTGAAAATTTTTATGTTGTGTGTTTTTGCAAATGAACTCTTCAAATAGTTTTTTACTTCAAGCCATTGCTTCCAACTAAAATAAACTCTCTGTCCATAATAATGCTTTCTCCAGTGAAAAACTTGTTTCGTCTGAATCAGGTGACAAATATGACTTTTACAAGTGCAAACAGTCCAACACAGTTCTAAAGAAATATGTCCTTGGATTTTGATGTGAGAGGACAACAAGGAATAGACTTTTTCACGGAAGGGAGCTTTGTTATGTATTATGGACTTGTATCTTGAGCAGAAGCGATGATTTAAAAGTTAAAATTACTTGATGGATTTGTTTCTTTAAAACGCAGCTTTTGGCTTCATAAGATGTTAACTGATGGACTGGAGTGGTGTGGATTACTTGTATATTATTGTGATGTTTTTATCAGCTGTTTAGACTCTCATTCTGACGGCACCCATTCACTGCAGAGCATCCATGGGAAAACAAGTGATGTAATGCTACATTTCTGCAAATCATCTACATCATGGATGGACTGAGGGTGAATACCTTTTCAAGAATTCTTTTATTTTTTTTGAGAGTGAACTATTCCTTTAACATCTAACTACACGTTATAATACAAGCGTGGATGTTCTGCATCAAATATTAATAGTCAGTGAAGCACCTGTGTGCTGTAGGCAGAGCAGTGCTGGATGATTCTCTGAAGTTCCTCGTGTACGAGCTCCACACAGCGCAGACTGGGCTCCTCCAGTCTCTTGATCTGTTTCTTCACCAGCAGCTCAAAACTGACCTCAGGAACAAACAGCGCCGGCCGAGGACCCTACATCCATCACAACAACCAAATACAATAAACCCACATCTAGTCTGCATCTGTTATATAAGTGTTAGAGTGTGTCCACAAATTCTGACCAGTAAACTTCCAGGACTTTACAGCTATTCTTGATAATCATAATTTAATAGTGATTGCACTCACAGAGAACCATTTCTACCAGGAGAAATATTTCAGAATTGAAAGAAAGAAATATACACACTACCAGTCAAAAGTCTGGAATAATTAAGCTGCTTTAATTATTAAGTCTTAAATATGTGTAATTTTCAGCACTTATTTAATCAAAAATACAGTAAAAACAGGAATATTGTAAACTATTATTACAATTTAACATAGCTGCTTTCTATTTTAATATATTTTACAATGTAATTTATTCCTGTGATGCAAAGTTGAATTTTCAGCATCATTACTCCAGTCTTCAGTGTCACATGATCCTTCAGAAACAGCAGAGCTCCTGAGAGAGGAGCTGTAAAAATATATTGAGATGGTTTTTGGTACTTATACCGCAAATAAATATTCTTAAGGACATCAAAACCTAAAATAAAACTCCAGAGAGGTGTAAAATATGTGACCTTTAAAGATTTCATTTATTTAAAAATTTTTATTTTTGGATGCCTGGAAATGTGTTAAATTCAGCATCTGTTTGCATTTGTTTCCAAAATTCATCAGGATGAGGACATGATGAATACTATGCATTGTACCACAACATTGTGTCTCGGAAAAACCTTTTTAGAAAATAATTGTCACTAGTCATGCAGTTCAGTTCCCTTTCAGTCGGTCACTCCGAGTCACGTCGTCGAGTGGGTTGCACACATCAGGCTGCACTACCCCCTGTTTGTCTTGCAGGCGGCTATCTCCTCTGTGCTCTTCAGCACGCTGAAAGAGCTTTTACCCTAAAAGAGCATTCACGGGTGCGTCTTTTTAAAGACGACGTTGCATCTGGCAAACTCAACGTTGCGTCTTTGTAAATATGATGTTACGTCTTCCTACAGACAACGTATCACCCGTGCATTTCTGGTTGCGGTCATTACCTGTGTCGGGTGATGGTCACGATCGCTGCCTCATGCGTCTGGGCATTAGGCACGCTGAGGTGGCGTTCGTGGATGAGTCATGTTCCCATTGCGGGAAGATGACCATCTCGGAGCTGCGGACTAGGCTTCGCTACCTTCAGGGGGCGGAGTTCTGTTGCCTCTGCCGGGATCTAGTGCTCGTTCTGGCGGCGGCCAGATGAGGACTACTTCCAGCAGTAGCGCAGGCGGTCTGAGGGTTACAGTGGTGGCAAACCCCTCAGGGAACCAACCCTCTGGGGCCCACCACTCCTCCAGTGCTCCGCAACCAGCAGAGCCGCCGAAGGAATGCCCTGCGTTCCACCTCGCTGCCCCACCGCGGGTACGGCGGTGGTTCCGTTGGTCCCGCTTGCACGGTATCTGGGTGCCTGGCTAGCGCTCCCCAGCCAGTCTCGCTGGCTTCTGCGGACCATCAGCCTCGGCTATGCGATTCAGATCGCCCGGCGTCCCCCCAAGTGGAACAGGTACGTTTTCCCAGTGTTATCCAATCTCACTGAGTGGGTAGTGCTATGACAACAGTGACTGGTCTTCTTGTTGCGAGCCCCGGCCTACACCACAAAGGGGCTCAGGTGGCTCGCACAGGACACTGGAAGAGGTAGCATCCATGGCGCTTTGGTAGGGATCCCAATTCGTCGGTCACTGACGTGACTCGGAGTGACCGACTGAAAGGGAACGTCTCAGTTACGTATGTAACCCTCGTTCCCTGAAGGAGGGAACGGAGACGTCACGTCCCGTCGCCACGGCTGCTGTACCACCGCTGAGCAGCCGGATCACCGGCTCGGCTCCTCAGCGAAAACCTGGTATGCATTGCACTGGCTGCCTTTTTATGCTCACACTGTGATCAGTGGCAGCTGGATGCAATAATTGCATGCCAATGTGCATTGGCTCGTTTAGTTACACTCGAAGTAGATTGGTCTCTCGAAGCGAGAGCCCAAATTTGTCGGTCACGTTGCCGTTCATTTGCCGGTCATTTGCCGTTCCCTCCTTCAGGGAATGAGGGTTACATACGTAACCGAGACATTTGGTGTTGCAGAAACTGCACACTTTACTTCTAAGAAAATGAGAAAAGGAAGTTGAGAAGATCCACAAAGGTTTTCAAAAAGTACTGTATATGCTTATCTGTACACACACACACACACATGTAACATAAACATGTAAATATCATACCGTAGCGTTTCGAATAGCTGTGAGAATGTCTAGCTCGGTGAGCCCTCCAAGTGGGTCAATAGACTGCAGGGTTCTTCCAAACGTCTCGTGGAATATGTAACAGATACGAGCTCCTCCACACCTGCAATTAACAAATTCACACACAAACCACGAAAATTAAAAATCATGCAGCTCTTTTGGGATTCACAGGCGCGCTGGCACACAGGCCTGGAGTCGGACTCAACCATCCAGCCAGAAACGTCAATATGAGGCACTTATTTAATCGATAGCTGGTGTGGACTTATATGAGAGCCAGATATGAGAGATGACCAGCATTTCATCCAACAGTGAACAGGGTGTAAATAAGGAGCTGGACAGACTCACAGATTATCTGCCTGTCAGATTCAGCCAAGCAGACAAAGTAAACATGGTGTGCTTGATATCTGTCATGAGTTTCAGTGCGAAAATGACAGACTGAGACGCTGCCGAAGTCACAGAAAAAAAAGATTTAACAGGAATGTAGCCTTGGTAACGACAGTATGTCAAACTCAATAGCATGGTGTAAGAAGGCAACCTTTAGTAAGTGGCTCCACAAATAAACGACTGTCTGATGATCATTGCACTCATAAATGGCAAGAGCGCTCTCAGATCACAAGCTCAAGCCTAACTGGTTGGCTTTACTAAACTTTTCAATGGGATTCCTGTTTTTCAGTTCCCAAGTTTAAAGGGACAGTTTACCCAAATATGTAAATTCTGCCATTGTTTACTCATCCTCCAGTTGTTCCAAACCTGTATGACTTTTTCTTTTGCTGAACACAAAAGAAAGAGATTTTGAAGAACGTTGGTAACCAAATAGTTGACGGCAGCCATTGACTTCCACTGTATGGAAAAAAATACCTTGCAAATCAATGGCTACCATCAACTGTTTGGTGGAGGGTGAGTAAAAGATGATCATTTTAATTTTGGGGGGAAAGTCCTCTTAAAGTGATAATAAAGACTTGCGCTATACTATTAAGACTTTTTATGCCCTTAAATTTAATAAAAACTGAATTTAAGACATTATATGGCCCTGCATGAATTATGAGGTTAAAACATTTTTTAAACATTGAAACATACATGGATGAATCGTTCACAATAAGATCTAAAAAAAATCAATTTAGAAAATAGATTTAGTAATTTAGTAATAGATAGTAAATTTTTATTTCAAGCCAACTTTAAAAAGTGTCTATTGCCTATATTATTTAGTCTTTCTGTTGTGTGAAGCAACACAAAAATGGGCAAAAAATAATTTGTGGGGTGAAAATAGTCATGAAAAAGTGTATTTTTCTACACTGGCTGCTTACAACCATGAGTAAAAAAATGTGGCCTCAATGGCTTTGTCACAAAGCAAGGCCAGACACAACAGGTAAGTTCAAAACAGGATGGTTTATTGACTGGGTAAGTGGATGACTGGAATAGGTGAGTTAAAGGCAGGTGAATGTCAACACAGTGAATGGTTCCAGGGTGCTTATCTGAGTTCTGATGGAGAGGATCGTATGCCGGTTACGTTGGAGATCGTGGAGCCGTTTCCAAGGAGTCGTTGGAGGATCGTGGGAGGAACAGCAGGTAATTCGTTCTAGGAGAATTTGGCAGAGAGAGTCCAGAGTAGTTAGTAGGAGTGAACGGTAGACCGGACAGTGAGTGACTGTGATGTGTGTGTATTTGTAGTGTGGCTTGATTGGTGACAGCAGGTGCGGGTGATCAGAACTCAGGTGACTGTGATCGGGTAATTATCCTGGATGGTGACTGAAGTGACTGTGATGAATCCCTGACAGGCTGAAGGCAAAAAGATGTTACACTTCTTGTATGCATGTATATATATATATATATATATATATATGTTAGGGCTGTGCAAGTTAACGCATTATTATCACGTTAACGCGTTAAGTAATTAACGCCGACAATTATTTTATCGCGCATTAACACAGTTTTTTTTTTTATTATTATTATTTTTAAAGTCTGTTGCTCACTGGCTCTGAATACACATACAGACAAACCATGGGTCACAGGAGGGGTGGGATGTTGATCAGTACTGGTTTGGGATGAGCGTCATCACGCGTCTCAACCATAGCATTACATCATAGCATTACATTAAATGTAGCATTACACCTCTTGCTTACCAATGGATCCTCTGCAGTGAATGGGTGGCGTTAGAATGTACGGTGACGCATTGCTGCCACACACATATTATTTTTTCCACTCAATTATGTCGTAATAACGAGATGTTATGTCATTTTAACAACATCTTTTCTCGTTAAAACTACATCTTTTCTCGTTAAAACGACATCTTTCATCATTAAAACGACATTTTCTCGTAATAACTAGATGTTTTCTCGTTAAAATGACATCTTTTCTCGTAAAAACGAGATGTTATGTCATTAAAACGACAATTATCTTGTTAAAACAACATCTTTTCTCATAATAACAAGATGTTTTCATTAAAACAACATATTTTCTCGTAAAAACGAGATGTCATAAAAACGATATAATTATCTCGTTAAAACGACAGCTTTTCTCGTTAAAACAACATATTTTTTCTCGTAATAACGACATATTATGTCATAATAAACAATATGTTTTCCCGTTATAATAGACATATGGGATTAATCTCCAATCTGACTACAATATAGTGCTATCCAATAACTGCACTCAGACCCATGACTCGTTTAGGCTATGATCAGATCAAAACAGTTATTTTTCAATAATCACCTCTGGGCTTGGAATATTTCTTTATTTGAATGACTGAAGTTTGATTTAACAACAAATCGAAATACGAACAAAAAGAAATAAAAAGATTTTCTAAGATGTCGTTTTAATGAGAAAAGATATGTTGCCTGTATGTTGATACGCTGAGTTTGCATTGTCCATATCTCAGGGGATCAAAGCTGCCGAGGTTCTTCCAACTAGCAGATTGAATATATGTGTGTGTATGTGTATATATATATATATATATATATATATATATATATACACTGTATATATTAGTGCTGTGCAACGATTAAAATTTTTAATTGCGATTAATCTCATGATTTTCTGCGATATACAACAATGCGATGGATAATCGTATTGTTATGTGCAAAATTGTGCATTGGTCTGAACTCTGAACAAAACAACAGTTTTTACCATATTTCCTGTTTTTGCTCTATTTCTCCAACAAAAATAATTCCAAACACAGTCACAGCGCTGTTTTGCGTCTCTAAATTACCATGATTACAAATGTGACATTGAATTCAATAAACAATAAGTTAATTAAGAGACCATATTGCTTGTTTTTGCTCTATTTCGCCAACAAAAATCATTCCGAATACAGCCACAGCGCTGTTTTGCGTCTCTGAGCAACATGATGGTGTTTCGTTCCTGAATGAATCAACCATTTAATGATTCGGTTCAATTGCAATGACTCAGTTATTAACAGTGACTTGCTGCCACCTGCTGGCGGTTTTAATTTCACATATTTCAAATATCAGTATTCAACCTTTTATGTATAATACATCAAAACACTATTTATGCATTTGTAACTGCAGATTAAATGCATTCTTACGACAGTGTGTATATGCATATAAATGCCACTTCAGACGCAGCTTCTGTGTTTCCTCTGCATTGCAAAGATGAATTCTGTTGATACTGATTTAATTTGTTTGGTAACAGCCCAAATGCAAGAATTTGACTCAAAAGATGGTGCACAGTTTTAGAAAAAATGGCTTAAAGGTAAAAATGCCCATAAAACGTGTTGGAAATTATTAATTTCTATCACTGCTGTGAACTGACCACACATAATATGAAGAATATCAAAGGAGTCAGCTGTCCACGGCAGTCCTTAAGATATCAGCACAATAACACACTCAGTGAAATATCGTCTAATTATCGTTATCAATAAAATACCAGAAAATTATCGAGATATCATTTTTTGTCAATAACACACACCCCTAATTTATGTTATTTCATTGATATAATAATTTATTGATAATAATTGTTTAAATTAATATAATAGTTAATACTTCTGACTCATCCATTTTCTTAACAAATGGTTTAAAGGCTGAAATGTAGAGTTTATAATTTTATAAAACTTTTTGTTTTTGTGAAAACTGAAACTGAACTGTAAATTATGCTTTTTACAGTAATTTTACAGTTTAATATGGTACTATAGACATTGCCCTACCCCGCTGTAATTCTGACTTTGCTATGACAATCTGGCGCTTCTGAATCAGCTACTGTTTTGTTATTAGTTTAAGTATTTGCTATTGACTGTTCAAATGCAGAGTTTTGCGCATCGTGTGTGTGTGCGAGAGCGAGAGAGAGAGAGAAAGAGAGAGCGCGAGAGAGAGAGAAAGAGAGAGCGCGAGAGAGAGCGCGAGAGAGCGCGAGAGAGAGCGAGAGAGAGCGAGAATGCGAGCGAGCGAGAGAGAGCACGAGAGAGAGAGCGCGAGCGAGCGAGAGAAAGAGAACGCATAATGTGTTTTTTGAACATTAAAGCATGTCAACATATTCTGTTACACCAAATACACCAAATAATGATCTTTAAAAAAGCATCATATGACCCCTTTAAAATTTGAGCTTAAAAATCCTGCAGAAACCCTGAAAATATGTTATAGAAGTTGAAGTGCTATGCTATTGACAGTATTGGTTATCACTAGACAGCAAATGCTTGACTTCTCTGCTCCTCAAACACAAAAAAACATTAGCCTTTAATGTTTTAGTGTTTCCTGAGTAAAGAAAAAGCTGTACTTTCAGATGTCCGAAATGCTGCTGTAATGAACGTGGCATCTGAGGACTACTTCACTAGTTTTTGCTTTATGATGTTTAGTTCGTCACATGATCCCTCTTATGTCAGCTTGAGAGCTGTAGTTATGACCATGTGAGTTTGTGATGCTGTTTGCGATGTTTATTTTAACTATAGTGAAGTGAAGGCTGATTAAATGATAACAGAATTTTCATTTTTGGGAGAACTATGCCTTTAACATAAAAAGACCTTTAGAGGCAATAAGAAAAACAACTTGTTTTGCAGAAAAAACATCCTACAGCATGGTGGTGCAGGTACTCACAATTCAGAGGTCTGGATGTGTCTGGTAGTGCCTTCGATGGTGTTGCAGTAGTCGGTGGCAAACTTAGTGACTATCTGCAGCAAGGTGGCGCTGTGGTCTTCCACTGGCTGGCCGTAGCTGTTGAGTCGGGACTGGTTCTGGGCGGTGAGCACCGTGACTCGTGTCTTGAGCTCCGGGAGACAGTCTCTGATGTGATGCATGAGCAGTCGGCTCAGGGTGCGAGCCAGGTAGCGCGAGCCGCAGCGGGAGGCTAATGACGGGTAATGCCGCTGCAGGAACACCTGCTCGTCTTTGCACGAGTCGTCGAGACTCTTTTGGGTGTTCAAGTCATGTTGGCTCCTGGTGAAGGAAAAAAAAATTATTATAGGACTGAACAGTGAAAAGTGGATCAAAGCCTGAAAAATTATAATAGAAGTAGGAAGGCACCAGAGCACATCCAAATTCACTGTTTGCTCAACATCCTGTCTGATAAGATGCTTTCATCATGTAGGTTTTAGGCAGTATCTATTGCTTCTTATAATGTCCCATAATACTCTTATTATAGGGCACAAACATAAAACTGCATCTATTTACTTGGTTATCTCCAAAGCTCATTTGAATTTGTTCTAGATCATTAAACATGATGTTATGCAGCCTTGGTCTCAGGAATCAGGAACCTTTCAAAGGAATCTTTCGAGAAATTATAATAAATAAATAAATGAATAAAAAATTCACAATGACAGAGAAATTATTGACTGAGCAGCAAGGACACTAGCGTGGGTTTGTACAGATTTTGAAAGTCTCTACGGTAACACTGTGACAAATTATTATAATTTAAAAGAACTGTTTTCTATCTTAATATATTTTAAATGTCATTTATTCCTGTGATGGTAAAGCTGAATTTCCCCCCCCCCTTCATGTAAAGAGTACCCAGCAGAGCACTATATAAATGTAATGAATTATAATAATTATTATTATTATTATTATTATTATAAAAGTATTAAATTATTTTTTAAAAACAAACCTTATTGACCACCCAAGGGTGGTTGGAGGGGTCGAAAACAGGTCATTTTAGAGACAGAGCAATTTATTACATTTGTTTTCCTTTGGAAAAAAGTCATTTATAATAAGACCAAGAAAGGCTCAGTAAGACAGAAAATCAAGTTGCTATTGATTTCATGTTGACTTTAAATATAGAGATTGCTGAAATCATTAGGCATGAATTGTTCTTTGACAAAAGAGATTGACTGTGACAAAAGTGTCTTCGGCTCTTTCATGATGGTCACAGAGAATTTCTAAATTAATCTGCAGTGCATTCTTATAGGATAGAGCTAGACTGAAAATTGTTATTATACTGCCCACTACTGAGTTTCTACCTTTGCTTCTGTTAACAAAGCCTCAAGTACTGTGCACATGCTAACTAGGAATGGCTGCTAGGGCATTGCTAGGTGGTTGCTAGGGTGTTTCAGTGGGTTTGCTTATTGCAGGGTTTCTACACCAAACCCAGAGAAGTTCAATGCACAGGATTTTATTAAAATTACAATGCTAAACTTTATATTACTTTTATGGATTACATTTGGTATACTTTTACACTTGCACTCACTACATACATTTAAAATACTTTAAATTCAAAATAATGTCCCTCTAGTATAATAATGTTTGTTATATTACATATTTAATGATGAAGATTATCAGGCCGTAACCTCACTCATAAAGTATTCGCCCATATAACAATATTTTACATTATTTTCAGCATTATATAGTAGTCATCTGTAATCAGTAGGGCAGTCATCTGCAGTGCAGATCCACTCACTGAACACATTAGCTTTCTCAAAGTGATAACGTGCTTACATGTAAAGAAGAAACCAAAAACACTTTATAACCTGCATATATTCCCCTCTGACACATCAGTTTGATACTGTAATCGTAGTTTGTTGTTGTATGATCACCAAACAGCACAGTACTGATTTAAAAGATACACACACTCCCTGTATCTGTTGTCGGTTTGAGATACTCACACTCATTCATTTATTAAAGTTGAATAAAAACTGTTTTGAGTGATGAAAATACGCGCCTTGAACTCATTAAAGGAACAGTTTACTCAGAAACAAAAATTTGCTGAATATTTACTCTCTGGCCTTCCAAGATGTAGATGAGTTTGTTTGTTCATCAGAACAGATTTTGAGAAATTTAGCATTACATCACTTGCTCACCAATGGATGCTCTGCAGTGAATGGGTGCCGTCAGAATGAGAGTCCAAACAGCTGATAAAAACATCACAAGTAATCCACACCACTCCAAATTCATAATGAAGTCGTTTTTATCCATAATAATGCTTCCTCCAATGAAAAAGTCCATCTCCTGTTGTCCCCTCACATTAAAATTCAAGGACATATTTGTTCAGAACTGTTTTGGACTGTTTTTTGCTTGTAAACAGTGCTTGATCTGTGCATATTTCTCTCCTGATTCAGACCAGATGAATTTTTCACTGGAAAAAGCAATATTATGGATAGAGAGAGTTTATTTTAGCTTGAAACCAACTAATCAATAAAAACATCTTAATTATGGATTTGTTTCTTATAAACACGCAGCTTTTCACTTTATAAGATGCCAATTGATGGACTGGAGACATGTGGATTACTTGTGGATTATTGCGATGTATTTATCAGAGGTTTCATTTTTGGGTGAACTGTTCCTTTAAATGATCACTAAATAATCATTAAACTGTTCCAAATGCCATGAAAAAGACTGCTTTTTTAAATATGAATTTATTTTTAAGAAATGCTCAGTTTTATATTTTAGAAAAAAGATACAGGCAATAGTCTAGAAATGTATTTCTCCATATCCAATAATATCCAGACTTTTTTCATACTGCATGGATCCCTGTAACTAAGTATTTATGATATTCTGGTCTCTAGATACAGCACAGGTTCTTCTTTCAGTCGGAGTTATGCGTGCTTCATCCACCAGTAAGTCAGATCTCTCTTCAATAACACATGATTTGAGGAATCATGCAAACGCCGCTGGTCTAGATGCATGCTTAAATTGAATATTTAAGGTCAGGGATTAGTTTGAACCTCTGACCTCAAGTATGAGCAACAGTAACACTGATGCTTCCCTTAGCAAATACTACAGATAAAACGAAAATGACTGACCAATACATTGTACCGAAAACGTCTTTTATTTGTCGCCAGTGCTTGCTTTCCATAAACACTCTCTTAGGAAATCTTCAAGTGCTTTCCTGTTTGACTGCTCGCTGTTGAATCCTCAAAGAGAGCGTAGGATAACACTGAAGAGACGACGGCCCGCAACTATGTCTAAATTAACTTAATGAGAGTCGAGAAATTAAAAGTGTCACTGCAGTTCTTCTCCCCAACTAAATTGCCTCCTGTATTCGTACAGGCCCTGAAGGACATGCTAAAGCCAAAGCTGAATAAACCAGTGATTTATCTCAAACTCGGCTCTCTGGTTGCTGATAGCGGGAAGACACGGTACCCTTGGGTGCTAGTGCATGAATGGACAGGGCGGGAGAGGAGAGGATAACAGCGTAGGGAATATTATAGTCACTGCTGCTTAGGGTTATGATAGAGGAACTGGAAACGCAAGAAAATTACAATGTTAAAATGTTGCAATGCTTTTTCACATGGTTGATTAAGTTTCTACTGCAGTCAAAAGGGCTTCTGTAGCACTTTATTTTTCCCCTGAGGTGCACTTAAAATTAGTGCTGGGCGGTATACCGGTTCATACCGAATACCGGTGTTTATTTTTGATATGAATTTTTAAAATACCGCAATACCGGTGTATGTCGCTTAAACAACGTTCGGAACGCGACACTGTTTGAAAGGGGTTCCTTTTCACTGTTGCACTGTGGTGAGGGAACAGCTGTATGTGTTACTAAGCGTGAAAGTTCCGAAACTGAAGCTGTAGAACTAATAGAACGTGATGACACAGAAGAACTCATCCACAATATCCACATTAACCATCAGCTCCCGCGTCTCACACACACACACGAGCGTGACTTTAGCACTAGATTTAGCAACTTTCATACCCTTTTAGCGGATTTTTTCCATAGAATATTCATACTGACAAACCTAGCGACTTTTTAGATAAACCTTAGCTATGGTTCAGTTGGAAGATTTCGCCAGTGCTGTCCCGCGAACGCGAGGTCTGACTTTCCCGGAGAAGTGTCACCTCTCTCGGCGTCTGTTCTGTGCAGTGAGCGGCAGAGAAGCAGCGCATTCAGTTGGCCGCA